ACTTACCATAGAATACTATAAAGTTTCTTTAAGAGAATTTATAGATTGCTGAAAATTTAGGATACTACTACACATTAATTGGAATTGGAGTTAGGGGAGGGTGGGGCAGGTTATTACAGGGGCAGGTTGTTACACTGCAAATAATTTCCGTATTTCTGATTCAAGCACCCTCTATTTGGTACACGTGAAACCAGTAGTGAGATGCTACCTACCGATGTAGTTTAAAATGTGTAGCTAGAGCACTAACCAAAATAGTTGCATAAGATTGTTTTGATGTGTGCGAAGTAAGTTAAGTGTTTGTGCAATAATCTGTTTATATCTACGTAACGGTAAGTAATCGATTTTTGTAATGATATTGGATAATAAATATTAGCGTTTTTCTCATAATTCTACAATTTATTTGTGGGTATAATTCAATTTTTCACAGAAAAATTTAGTATAACCTCACTTATTAGCGAGAGGGGTTAGTTGTTACAATCACCACGGGGCACGTTGTTATATGTAACAACGTGCCCCGTGCGCAAAGTTAATGTGAACTGATTGAACTATCAGTTTCATCGTCTTATATTGTTTTAGTTAAGATGGTGAGATCCTATAAGAAAAAGACGGACAGGGGGAACACGCCCAATGCAGTTTTTGAACGAGCTGCTCGTGAAATCTCAGAGAATAAAATATCTATTCGCGACGCTGCGAATCGATTTAAAATCAACTTTATGACTTTGCATCGCTATCTTAAAAAGAAAGATGGAAATCTTGATGGTAAGGAAGTGTCTATGGGCTATGCTACACCCGCAAAAATATTTTCCGACAAGCAGGAGCTTGAGTTATCAAACTACTCTGAGCAAGCTGCGAAATTGTATTACGGACTCACAACAAAAGACCTACGAAAACTAGCATACAACTTAGCTGTTGCCAATAACATTAAAGTTAGAGATGTATGGAAGACTAATGAAATGGCATCAAAGGATTGGTTACTGGGATTTCTTAAAAGGCATCCAAACTTATCTATTCGAACACCAGAAGCTACGAGCCTTTCCAGAGCGACAGCATTTAACCGACACAACGTGGGCTTGTTTTTTGACAACCTTGGTTCTGTTTATGACAGGTATAAGTTTAAAATCAATGATGTATACAATGTGGATGAAACGGGGCTAACCACGGTCCAAAAACCTTCAAAAATTGTTGCCAAAAAAGGAACAAAAGAAGTTGGGGCAATAACTTCAGCAGAACGGGGGCAACTGGTAACCATGGCTTTGGCAGTAAGTGCAAGTGGTAATACTGTGCCGCCCATGTTGATATTCCCAAGGAAAAACTTTAAGCAGTTTATGATAGCAAATGGCCCTCCCGGTTGTGTAGGAACAGCTACCCCATCTGGATGGATGACGGCGGAAATTNTAAAATCAATGATGTACACAATGTGGATGAAACGGGGCTAACCACGGTCCAAAAACCTTCAAAAATTGTTGCCAAAAAAGGAACAAAAGAAGTTGGGGCAATAACTTCAGCAGAACGGGGGCAACTGGTAACCATGGCTTTGGCAGTAAGTGCAAGTGGTAATACTGTGCCGCCCATGTTGATATTCCCAAGGAAAAACTTTAAGCAGTTTATGATAGCAAATGGCCCTCCCGGTTGTGTAGGAACAGCTACCCCATCTGGATGGATGACGGCGGAAATTTTTTTACAGTTTATCAAACATTTTACTGCATTCACTCGGTGTACTATAGACAAGCCCATTTTACTTCTACTCGACAACCACGAATCACACCTATCTATCGAAGTGTTAAATTACTGTAAGGAAAATGGCGTAGTGCTTCTCAGTTTTCCACCACATACTTCTCATCGGCTTCAACCCCTGGACAGGACTGTGTATGGTCCTCTTAAAAGATACTATAGTACCTTTGCTGATGGATGGCTTAAATCACATCCAGGTATTCCGATGACTATTTACGATATTGCAACAATACTGAAAGAAGCTCTGCCACATGCCACTACACCAGGGAACATTCAAAATGGATTTGTCGTCACAGGTATATGGCCGTATAATAGAAACATATTTCAAGATGTTGAGTTTTTACCATCGGAGGTTACCAATAGAGACATTCATCATTCTGAAAATAAGGAAAATTGTGAGGAAAATACAAATTTTGAAAATATTCCCTGTGCAGTGGATCAATCGACTGAAAATCAAATAAGTCAAAGCACATCACAAATTCGTCACTCCACACCGTCACTCAAGCCCTGTACTTCTGGTTTCAAAGATTCCGTAGATTCACCAACTTTTCATGTGACACCACAACAGCTGAAACCCTTTCCAAAAGCTGGTCCCAGGAAAGAAGGTATAAATCGCCGGAAACGTAAATCTGCTATATTAACTGATACACCAATAAAGGCTGAATTTGAGGCAGAAGCTTGTACAAGACAAGAAAGAAAGCAAAGGGGAAAGAAAGTTATTAGAAATCTAACTAAGAGTAATAAAGAACAATCTGAAAAAAAAATAAAAGGCAAGAAAAGTAAGGTTAATTTACCATCAGATTCGGAGTCGGAAGAACATGATGAATTGTGCCTGATATGTTTGATGGCGTTTTCTGAATC